TTTTTGTGTGTGTGTGGAGAATGAGAGGCGCGATATATTTTTTCAATATTGAACAATCTCTATCACTATCTGGCTCGTTAACGCCAATCATCAACAACAACAACAACAACAAGTAAACAATACACCTTTTTTCAATCGACTATTGTGTGCATATGGAATGACAATGATTCACTCTCACTATATATATATATAATATACCCAAGTGAATCAAAAACAAATTGGTATTAAAAACACCGGAGACCAAATTGTTACCACCACAAGGACTGTATGTATGTATGTCTGGTCGTCTGGATGTCGTTCTCTTTTTCTTTTGGCCATAAATTCAATAGAAAAAAAAAAAAATAGATCTAAATCAAATACTACCAAAAATGAATGGAATTGAAAATTGAAAATTCGACAACAATTGAGACCATTCTGAATTTCATTCATAACAGAGATCTGTATTTTCATTGAATGTCAATTGACTTCAAGAAACAGAAATAATCATCAAGTAAAAAGACACAGAGAGAGAAAAAATTGAAATTTCACCAAAATACACACACATTGTATTGTATTGTCTTCTCGAACAAAAAGAAAAAAAAACATACACGGATACAAAATGTCCAAACAACAACAACAACAACAAAATGAAAACAAACAGAAAAAAACAGGAATCTCAAACTTTGAATTGATCTTTATCGTGTTGGTTTTGTTTTGTTTTGTTTTGTTTGTTATTATCCATATAATGGCCAACACTATCAACATACACCATGTGTATTTATCATCATCATCATCATCATATGGATGTCATGGATCAAAATAAGGGCAAGATCGATTGCCATTTCGGTAACAACAACAACAATGATGATGATGATGATGAAGTGAAAAATGAAAGAAAAAAAAATTTTCACGAGTCCTCGACAACGATCATCATCAATGTTGATGATGATGATGATGATGATGACGATGACGACGACGGCCATGAATAATGTGGTGCGATTTTTTTTCTCTCTCTCTCTCTCTCTCCCTGGCTATTGTTACCTGAATAATGATGACGATGATTAGTCCAATAGTGTAACAATCATCATCATCATCATCATCATCCATGCAACAATTTTGTTGTTGTTGTTGTTGTTATTGTCGATCATCATTTATTCATTGATCGATCGAAATGAATAACAACAACAAAGTCAATATAGTAGTAAACACTGTAAACTAGGTCCCTATTATCCGGTAATCAACAATCATTTTGTTGTCGTTGTATAAAAAAAAAAAATTTCATTTTCAAAAAAAAAAAATCATTTTGAATCGATAAATTTCAAACAGACAAACAGAGTGTGAAATTTTTCCATTTTTTTTTTCGAAAATGATACTGAATGTTGTCAACAATACTACTAGATAATAATCATGTCCTCATCATCATTACCAAAAATTGTCAGCATAATGATTGGAACAGCAGAAAAAAAATGTTGTGTCGTTCAAAAAAAAAAGACCAAAGTCAGCAGGATTTTTATTTCTCAAAGAACAAGAAAATTGACTTGAATTCTGCGGAAAAAAAAATTCAAATTCTGTAATCGAAATGAAATAAATATGATAATTTGCATGAAACACACACACACATACATATTTGACACATTCATATAATCATCATCATATATGTGCATAAGCGGCATAAAAAAAAGTGTCAATGTCACACACACACACACAAAATGACATATTATCTGTGTGTGTGTGTGCGATTTCTCAGCATTATCAATCTCTAACAGAACAAAAAAAAAAAAAATTGTCTCACTATGAGACAACCATCGTGAACCACAAAAAGAAACAAAACAAAAATGAGCAAGTTCATTCATTATATTCTTGTTTTGACAGCTTGTACACATTTGACATTTTTTTTTTGTTTCAACCAAAAAAATGAAAAAAAAATCTTCTATGGTCCTGTGTGGGGTCTCTCTTTTTTTTTGTATTACTAAATAAGTGTTGTGTTCAAAAATTTTAATCTAATTTTCGCCTTGTGTGGTAGTGTGTGTGTTTATTTCCTTTTTTTTTAAAAATTTTGAAATTTTTTTTTTTGTTGTTGCAAGAAAAATCTGAATAGCGGAAATGAATGAATGAATGAAAAATCCAAACATGCAATAAGAATATTGATTTCAAGAGAAAAATCATTTTATCACCATTCATGTCAAAAAATAATCATTATCATTCCATCATGTTGATGACTAATCAGTAAAAAAAAAAATGGTAAACAGATAAAAATAAAACGTGCCACAAACACACATATAATATTGCCACCATCATCATCATCATCATCATCATTCAATTTGCATATTGCCCCTATCTAAAATCAACAACAACAACATAGAAATCAGATCAACTCATAAATATTATTTCTAGCTCATTTATGACCATATCGAACAACAACAACAACAACAACAAGATTTTAATATCAAAAATTGTGCGTAGGATTCCAGTGAAAAAAAATGAAAAATGAAAATTTCAATATTTGAAATTTGAATCTCAATATTAAAATGTTATGTGTGTGTGTGTGTGTGTGTGTGTGTGTGTGTATGTGGACGATGATCATTATTGAATTTCAGACGCACACACACACACACATTCAGTCTGTAAAAAGTCAAACCAAACCAAATCAACATCCATTATTCATCAATGATGATGATGATCATTCGTCTACTATGGTAAAAAACATTTTTTCTTGTTTATTACATGATCATCATCATCATCATCATTATGAATGAATAAAAAAAAACACTGAAGAAAACTATCTATAAGATGAATGAAATGAGATGATGATAATGATTAGACTCTATATATCTAATGATTTTTTTTTTACAACTCCAAACTCAGACTTAATAATGATTATGATGATGATGATTTTTGTTTTTTATTTGCAATCACACACACACACACACAAAAATCTTTATTATCATCATGTTTTTTTTCGAATAATCATGATTAAAATTATGGAAATCAATAATAATGAAAAAAAAAATTTCGATGCATAATGCATACAAACATGCAAATATAGAAAAGTGTTGAAAGGATTATATTATAATCAACGAATAAACCATACAGACATATTTTATTTGTGGTTGTCATCATCATCATCATCATCATCATCATTTGGGTGCTACCGTAGTCATTGTTGTTGTTTATTGAAGAATGAAAAAAAGAAAGAAACAAAATCTTTAGCCTTTTGACCTTTCTTTCATTCTTCTATTCTTTTTTTTTGCATCATCAAAATTGATTTGATCGACTGTTTTTTTTTTCTTGACAATAAGCGAATAGGATGTTTGATGATGATAAAGATGGCCAAGTCAACATTGAAATTGATTGAAAATGTTGAAAAAAACCGAGTAATAATGAATGAGTGTTTGTGTGTGTGTGTGTGTGTATGTGAAAGCTAAATTCAGTGGAAAGAATTTTTTTTTTGCTCTTTTTGAAAAATTTCTATTTTCGTATACATCATTACCATACCATACCATTTCGAGCTCATTTGTCATTTTGTTCATGCTATTTTTTTCTTGATTCACACACACACACACACACACACACACATCCAAATCATTAACAAAAAAAAATTGTCATCATCATTGATGAATAAATGATAGATTTGCAATGGCAAAAAAAAATTTCCAACATAATTCCGTCATGGGATTCTCGATGATTTTAATCATCGTACAAGAATCAATGATGCCATTGCCGTCGTCGTCGAATGATAACAAAAAAAAAAGTCATCAAAATTTTTTTTGCAAAAATAAAAATGATAAGATAGACACAAAACAATAACAACAACAACAACAAAAATAATTGTTTTTCACAATTGACAATGTGATCATTGTCAACCCTTAACATAAAAAAACAGGTTAACTTTGTCTTATCCAAAAACAATCAAGAATTCATTTCACACATCTTCTTTTTTTTTTTTTGAAGACGACAATCATCAACATTTATCTAATTTGCATATTTTTTTTTTTGCTGTAAAAAAATGTCATAGGTGAAGAAATAGCAAAAGCTGCTACTGTGTGTCCTGAAAGATCTATTCTGCTACCACGACGACCAACACCTCCATAATTGTCAATCTTATCTTCTCACTTACACTTTTAGTAATATAATGGAACCAGCAAAAAAAAAAAAAAAAAATAAGTACCTCAGTCTCGTTCGCAAAAAATTTTATCATCATCATCATCATCATCATCAACCGTGACACTATAGTAACAACAATGACAACGACAACGACAATAAGTAAGTAGTGACAGATGGCAGGAAATGGACAATTTCTGTTGGTTGTTTGCTGTCGTTGTTGTTGTTTAGCCAGGTTTTTTTTTATATATTCAGAAAAAAACTGGCTTTTTTCCCCATATAAATTCATTAATGAATCTATGATACACACACATACACAGACACTGATAGAAAGAACTTTGTCATCATCATCGAATGAATGAATTTCACATTCCCACCACCACCAGCAACCATTATATATAGCCATTAGTCAAGCAAGCTCTCTCTCTCTCTCTCTCTCTCTCTCACTCACTCCTAAATGAATTCTGATAAGGTGGGTTTTTGTCATCATCATCATCAATTGGCGACGACGACGACGACGACATTCAATGATTGTCACCAGGCTTCAGTTCATTCTACTTTTGATGCTTTAGATGCATTATCTAACATTACAAACAAACAAACAAAATAAAATAAAAATAAAAACACACACTCACACACAGCACAAATAGCCCAAATTGAATGATCAAAATTTGAAACCAAATGTGTCTGTGTGTGTGTGTGTGTATAAACCGCCCGAAAAATTGCCAAAAGACTCTTTTTGTGTGTGTGTCAATTGAGCTTGTTGAGTTAGATGATAAATAGGAAGAAAAAATTTGCACCTATAAATCTATATATTTATTTTGTTTGTGGTGCGACATGCAAATAAATGGTTGAAGAGAGATTGAATAATTGATTGATTGATTGAATGGTGGACAAAAAAAATTTGATTTTAACTTTACCTTCCTGTTTTTGTTATTATCATTTCTGTGCCAAGTTCATGAAATTTATCCCATAATTCTTTATTCTCAAGATGACATTCAACTTTTGCTAAATTTTCACAATTATATTTTGGTTTCAATAGAGGTGCATATGGATTATTTGTTGATGTAGTAGTAGTAGTAGATGATGTTGATGAAGATGACGATGATGGTGATGATGATGAATTTGATGTTGCCGGTGAATTATTACGACTTATTGATCGATCTTTATTTAACAGATTTCTTGGCGATTGATTTTTCAATGTTGCTGTTGTAGTTGTCGTTGTTGGTGGTGTTGTTGTAATCAAATCTTTTGAATTTGATGATGATGATGATGATAATGTTGGTGATGGTGAATGAAATGATATTGATCTTGGTGAATCCACTATAATTGCTAATTGTTGTTGTTGTTGTTGTTGTTGCTGTTGTGTTGATGATCCACAATTATGATTAACCATTGGTCCATTATTACTATCTATGGATGCTGTTGATGGTGAAAGACTTGATGGTCGTAATGATTGTTGTTGTTGTTGTTGTTGATGCGGATGTATTGGATAAACAACACCCGGATGATGATGACCACTGTTCATAATACTTGGAAATGATGTATATCCTGCCGCTGATGCAGCAGCAGCAGCAGCAGCCGCAGTATTAAACATTAATGCAGCATGCATTGCTGCAGCTTTTTGTGCTGCTTTCTGTTGTGTATGATGATGATGATGATTATGATTATGAATATTTGACTTAGAATAATCAATCATATCAAAAAATCCATTCTGATCTGGTGATAATGGTTGATTTGGTATTGATGCATTATACATTGATGATGTTGATGGTGATGTTGATGATGATGAGACCGTTAAATTTAAAATACCTTTCATTTGTGATTGTTGTAGCTGCTGTTGTTGTTGTTGTTGACTAGTAGCCAATTCGGCTGTCAATCCTGGTTGAGGTGATGGACGTTGATGATGATGATTTAAATAATGTTGATGATTATTGTTGCTATTATTATTTGAACCAATAATAGCATTGATTGAGAAATCTGTTGATTTTGTTGTTGTTGTTGTTGTTGTTGATGTCATCGGTGGTGGTGATTTATTATTTTCATTTATCATTTGAGATCCTTTCATCATTGATGATGCAGCATTGATACGTTGTTGTTGTTGTTGTTGTGTTTGATAATAATGGAATTGTTGAAGATAATTATCTGCTGAATGTGATAATCCAGATGATGATTGTAAATATCCAGTATTTGGACCCATATAATTATTTGCTAATGTCGTAGTTGTAGCGGCAGTGATTGTTGATGAAACTATGGTTGGATCAACTGAATTCGTTGTTGATGTTGAAGTTGTCGTTATCATTGATTCATCATTATCATCATCATTTGAATTTGAATTTCCATTATTATGATCTAAATCAGTGGAAATTTTTCTTTTCAACGATGATTTTTGTTGCTGTTGTGGCTGTGATGATGGTTCCATATTTTCTTGATTATTATCAATAACATCTTTAGTATGAACATTATTGTGATGATGATGACGATTTCTGGTGATACCACCACCACTATCAGTATCGGATATAATCGTTGTTGTTGCTGTTGTTGCTGTTGTCGCTGTCGATGATGATGATGATGTTTTTAATTTTTTCTTTTTCAATGATAATGACGGTGGTTTCAATTGATGTGATTCCATTGATGATGATGATGATGATGGTGGTGGTGGTGGTAGTGGTGGTGTTATATGTATGAATTTTTCACGTGCCACCAATGTTTCTGTTGTTTCAGCAATATCGAGCATATTCATTCATTCAAAAATGAAAAATTTCCTCTGTTTATTGATGAATAAATTGCAGAAAAAAACAAAAAATTAACATTGGATTATTCATAAACATCATAATCAACATAAAAACAAAAAAGACAAGATCAGATAATACATCATCCTATATGAATTTGTTTGCAAAACCGAACGAAAGAAAAAAATTCGGGCGTGTTTCATATTACCACATACACACACACACACACACAAAAACTATCCTATTTCATTGAAAATTGTTCTGTCCATTTTCAAACTAATGAACAAGTGCACTTTAAATCATTTCAATAATAACTTCTCATCATCTGGTCATTTATTTGCCTTTCAATATATGTTGAGCGGACATCAATCAAATGTTTGTAAAAAATTTCCACACACACACACACAAGTTATGCCAAAAATATAATTCTGAAAACCAAATGCAAGCCAACAAAAATGCTGTCATTGAATCAATCAAAAGAAAAAACTGCTCAAAGAAGAGTTGAATGAATAAAAACTGGTCGACAGAAAATATTCCTACACACAGAAAACACAGTAGCACACACACACAAAACAACATTTGATTGAATGAATGATGGATTTGAAAACAGAAAACAGAAAACTGGTAAACTACTCACACACACACACACAATTAATTAGCCCATTATTATATTCAACATTTGAATTGAAGAACAAGAGAGAAAAAAAAATCTGAAATGTGTCAATCAAATGATTTATGAACTGAATAAATTTCACATAAGAAACCATGAAACAATGATAATGATAATGGTCACACACACACACACACAGCAAAATTGTTATCGTTGAAAAAGAATTTTTTTAGGTGTTTGTTTTCTATTCCTTTGTCCTGTCTTTATGAATTTTTATGTTTAATTACCATTGAAACCATTGTTCTAATTTTATAATAATAAAAAAATTGAGGATGACCAGAATTTCGATTCCATCGTCACAAAATTTTTTTTTATTTCATTTTAATGACACCAACAATTGAAGGTCACACACACACACACACACAGAGATAATTACATGATGATGAATTCCATTCATCCATGTTTTGTGACATATTGTTTGTCACAATCATAAGTTTTCTGTCACATCTATCAAATTGACATTTACCTTGATTTTTTTTTTTCCAATCAGAATGAGTTAGTGATTAGATGAAAGAATGTGTGACACTTGTCACCTATATCACAAACCGCTACACACAAATATAAGCAAAATTACCGAGAATTTATAGTGTCAAATTTTTCATCATTTTTTTTCTGGTTGTCACAAATTTTTTTCAAATTTAGACAAAAAAAAATAAAATTTCAAACACTTGGTTGTCAATAATTGAAAAAATTGTTTATGACAACCATATGATGATTATGGCTTTTGTCGTTGTCATATTTTGTTCATCTGGATGTCAATAATGATGATGATTTGGTAGTTTTTTTCACAAAAAAAAAATTTCACCAATTTTATCCATCATCATCATCATCATCATCATCATCATCATCATCATCATTAACATTATCGTCATCATTGTTCATCATAATTCATGATCGACGAACCGAATCGAAAATACATATTTTTTTTGTTGCACACTCGAATCGATTCCATGTTTTTATATGACACTAAACATCATCATCATAATCATCATTGAAATGAATGCAATTTTTTTTTCATGTGTACTCGGTTTTTATATATAGCTAGGAAATCGAAACAAAACAGAAAAAAAATTTGCATAAATATTCCATTTATTATATACAAATGAAAATGAAAAAAAAAATTTCAATTATACTTGTCCTCAGTTCATTTACAAGTTTTTCATTTTATCAACACATACAGACTGAATAGGACATTATATTTTAAATTCAAATTGATAACAATAATGACGGGTGTATAGTGTGTACAAAAAAAAAATGCTGAGAAATTGTCATCAAAATCATAGAATTTCAAATGAAATACAAGGGCGTTTTTATTTTCTGTAAGAAAAAAACTACCTAAAACTAAAAGTCAAGTGTCTGATAAAGTGTTAATAATTGAAAAACAATCATCATCATCATAGTGATGAGGATTTTTTTTTTTTTTTATATTAGATAATTGATCAGGATATAGTTTTTCATTGCAATTATCAAATGACAATGGTGTGAGAAAATTTGCCATTTGTCATTCATTTATACAAAATAGCCTCTTTCATATCAACATTGACACTTTTTTTGATAAATTGATAATTAATCAATAATCAATGATTCGATAAAAAAACACACACACACACAGTGAAAACATAGATATTTAAAATCATCAGACAATCATTTCTCTTATACTTGCACAGCAGTAGCAGAATTTTGGCAAGAAATTAAAAAACACTTGAAATCACACAGAAATTCCCAAATCAGTACACACAGACACACTGTATTATTTCACATTCAAAAGTTCAAAATTTATAGACAATTAGAAAAATTCAATAAATTTACCGGAAAAAAAAACAAACGAAATGTAAATCAAAACAAAAACGTTGATGATGATCAATGAATTGCAAATAATGATGTGACTGAAACCGACGAATTCGATTTAATTAATGGAAAAAATGTTTGCCGATGTTGATTGATTGAGAACAATTGAAAACAAAAACACACTCATACACACACACAAACACGAAAAAGGAATTAGAATAAATCACCAGAAAAAAAACAGTGGCCAAAAATATTGTCATCATATATTGTTGTTGTTGATACAACAAAAAAAAAAAAAAAAAAAAAAATACACACAAAAACACAATGAAAATGTGACAATCAAATGTGGTAAAAATCACAATTTTATCCACATCATTTATATCAGCATCGTTGTCGTTCGTCACAAGTGATTTTTTTTTCGCCCAAAATCAATTCATCGATAATGTCATTTAATCAAAACACACACACACACACATAACACAAAACACAGTTAATCAAAACACCTGTGTATGGTTAGTTTAGTAACTATGACGATCAATTTATCAAATTACCTGTTGAGTTGTATATATATTTTATTTATTATGGATCAATATCTTATCTTAATTTATTTCTTTGATCCAAATTGGAAAAATTTTTCAAAACAACGATGATGATGATGATGATGATGATAATGATTGATGTATGCTTGTGTGTGCGTGTGTGTGTGTGTGTGTATGTTAACACAGGTATGATATTCGTTGAATGATTTGAACTAGCAAGTTGTTGTTGTTGTTTTGTGACTAGCGATGGATGGATACTACTTTTTTTTTTTTTTTGTTTTGTTTTGTTGATAATGTTTTAGCGGTATAACATTGTGTTATTGCTTGATGATGGTGGTCGTGGTAGTAGAAGTGGCAAATAATTTATTAAAAAAAAAATGTGTGAATGAATACATTCACCATTCACACATATGTAGCTTTTATTGGCTGATTGGCTAAAGCCAAAAAAAAAAAAAAATGAAAAATTGACTGCCCCTTTTTTTTGTTTCTTCGCACACACACACACACACACACATATTACGTGATGACAGCTAAAATAGTTGAATGATGATAATGATGACACCAATGAGTGACGAATTAAAAAAAGGGCTGTACCTTTTTTGGGTAACGCCTTTTTTCTTACTATTATTAATACTACTATACCTTTTCATAATCGATTTAAATGGGCGTGGTTTAGTATAATAATAACAACAACAACAAAAACATGTATCATTTTCACATGACTATGAAAATAATGTAGCTGTGTATGTTTTTGTGTGTGTGTGAAAAAGTTCGCGCATCATCACTTTGTTGTTACATTACAATCAAGAGGAAATTTTTTTTTTTTTTTTTTGCCGCATCCATATAATCAACAACAACATGATAATGGCGATGATCAATATAAATTGGAGAAGCAAAAGAAAATCTTTTTTTAAAAAAAATTTTTTGTGTGTGTGTGTGATGAAAATCACTTTATGATGATGATGATGATGATTTTTTTTTCTTTTTCTTGATCAAAATGAATGATCACATGATCAAAATAGAAAAAAAAACTTTCAAAACAAGTAATAATGATAAGTGATGATGATGATGATGATGATAATTGTAAATGAGAGAACTGTAGTTTTTTTTTCTTTAAATAAAGATTAGAAATAATGATGATTATTCAATGTAAAGGTGTTGTTGTTGGTCAAACAACCGATCATCAAACTTTAAAGATTGGTGTATTTGCCTGTGTGTGTGTGCGATGACCACCATCATTGATGTGAATCAATATCAATCAATGCTACCAACAACAACAACAACAAAAACTTGAAAACTAAAAAAAAAAAAGATCACTGACTTATCATTGCTGTAAAAAAAAGCAGAAAAAAAAAAAATTCAAAAGTAAAGGAAATTGATAAGAAACAAGAAGAATTGGTTTATTGTAAATAGTAAAAAGAAAAAAAATTGCAGTATGCATAACGACAACAACAACAACAACGTATGTGAACGAAATGGAATAATTAACATTCTGATGATGATGATGATGGATAAAAATGAATGTTATGTTCATCATTCACACACACACAAAAACAGGAAAACAAAAATGAATGCAATTCAAAACACACACACACACACACACAGAGACTA